TTTCTGAGTTCTGTGGGTGATGGAACATGGTATAATTAGTAAGTGTAACAATTTGTCTGGCTGATTATAGTAATGAATGAGATTCTCAGATGTTAAGTATTTATACAGCTTTTGAGGTGAGACCCATCATGCCTTCCAGGGTGGATTAAATGTGTTTATTCCAGAAAGCCTTTGAATGATATTATATGGTGATTTAAGGTTTGCTGACTGGTTTGGAATTTGTATTCAGTTTTATGTGTTTATTTATTTATTTTTAAAAATGTCTTGGGTGCCCTCTCTTAGCAGAAAGACAATTATGTAAACTAAACAAAAGCGCTAATCAAATAGCACCCTTGTTAGGTCTACACTAGCTTTTTGCTTCAGCTTGGTTTACATTATCTCATGGAGTGCACTTCCATAGTTACTAGAAAAAGCATTCTTTAAGATATTTCATAAACAGTATATTAAAAAAATCTTCAACTTTGTTGTCCCATTTTTGACTTTTGTCACAAAACATTTAACTCTCTGATTCTCTTTTTGAAATAAATTAAATATTTTTATTATTGTATCTGTGATGCAACATAATTTGGTCTTGATTTTAGGAGTTTCTACTCCTAAAGAGACTACTGCTAAATTTCATTACCTTGAAGAGCCTTCAGAAGATATGGTAAATTAACTGGGGATTTTAACTCACCATAATTAAATGGGCTTTGAGAATCTCAGTTTAAAATTATTTACTGCATTCTGTTTAGCCTGATTTTGTGCCATCAATTATACAATAGAATGTTCTTTTTCTTTCACTGGAAAAATCCTGTTTTACAACCAATATAATTGTATGATTAGAAATCATTAATATAAAGTGACAAAAGATACAATAATATTTTTTCTACGATGAAGATCACCATCCATCAGGCATAATATGTTGTAAGTGAGTGTTGTAACTACAAAAAGCATATTTTGCTGTTCTGAAAGTCAAAACTGGCATGTATTCAACAGCACAAGTCCAAAGACTTAGTGGCACTTAACCTTGTGGAAGAGGGTGTGAATTTCTCCCAATTCTTTCCTTTCACTGCAGATGCTCACTTTCTCCCTTATGATATGCCTGAGGGCTAACTGATGCCTAGGAAAGAACTGGGTGTAGTGCCTGGTGTGCTGCAGCAGGCAGAGGAAGCTGGAAAGTCCCACCCAGCAAAGTCTGCCATAGTTTGATACCTTTCCAGGGAAATAAACATAACTGTGAGACAGAAGTAAATATTAACAAATCACAATTTGATAAATAATCACAGCACAACATGTTGATTAGATAGATAAATATGCTGTAACTAGGGGTGTGCCCATTCAGATTAGGCCGAATCAGGCAGAATCAATTTCGGCTGGCAGTAAGACTCCCGCATGTCAGTTTCTTGGGGAGTCTTTCAGCCAGTCGAATGTCAATTTCACCCCATTATATCCTATGGGCCATTGAAGTCAATGGTGAAAACATAGGGTATATTCTGGGGGCTGGAGGGGAAGAGGCTTGAGGGAGAGACTCCAAACTCGCAGGGTAGCTGCTGCAGCCTCTCCCCAAGATACCAACCAAGTTTCAAGAGCATTGGACCAGGGAGTCCAATTCTACGGGCCCCCAAACAGGTTGCCCCTATCCCCTCCATTGTTCTCTATGGTGGGGGGAAAGGTTCAGCTGTTTTCTGCTGTCTTGTGTGGTCCTTTTAAACTTTAAAGGGACTGCATAAGACAGCCCGACATACAGCTGAGTGGTGGGAGTGCCTGTTCCCCACCACTCGGTTATTTTGGGCTGTCTTGTTAAGACTGCAGAAAACAGCACCTGCTCCCTACTGCTCAGCTGTTTTTGCAGGTTTCATGGGGAACAGAAAGCAGGGATTTAAAGGGAGAATCCCTCTAAACCCCTGCTTTCTGCTGTATTCACAAACCACCACAAACTGCTTTAAAAGACAGTAGACCCGTCATAAATTTCAGTTCACAAACCACAAACAGGGCAAAAATTGTCATGAATTTTGCTTAGTGGTTCAGTTCATGCCCATCCATATTCATTTCCCTTTCTTGTCACAGGTATGGGAATACCTGGTTTGATCCTGAAGTCTTCTATTTAAGTTAATACTGGACTGAACCTCTGAAAATATGCCTTTTGCCTGTCTTTCAAGATTTTTTTCATTCCCTACAGGCTTAGGCATGGCATACCAGAAAGGGGTGCCATGTATATTTTATATATGCCAGGGGTTCCCAAACCTTTTGAGCTGATGGAATTCTGACACCATGAGGTGGACGCAGTCACAAAATGGCTGCCACAAAACAACTGCTGCAGGAGGTGGAGCCAGCCACAATGCAGATCTTTGTGCTGTGGCAGCTACTGCCAAAACAATGTTCTGAAAAATTTGCACAGTCAATCAAATCTCTAGTGGCAAGTCAGAACCCTTGCTGGGCAAAGGCCCACCTGGCCTTGCCCACTTTCTGAAAACACTTCACAGGTACCGGAAAAGGTGTCACCAGGCTTCATGGTCCCTGCAGACATCACTTGGGAGATCCCTGGTATATCCTGTAAGTTCTGTTCTTATAATTCATTGTTAAAAGGGGTTTCCCCCCCCCCCCCAGTATTGATTTATATATACCCCACCCTGAGCCTGCTTTGGTGGGGAGGGCAGGGTATAAATCAAATAAATAAAATAACAAATAAATATTTTATCATACATATCACTTTTATAAAGAAGATGTATCCACAAAAGTGTGTGATGGCACTAAATGCCAATGCAGGACAAAAAGTGGGAGATACACTAATCTACAAAAATGTTCAACATTCTGTTGCACTTTAGGCTAGGAATCTTTTTTATTTTCAGAAGACTTTATTTAAAACTGCATAACAAAATTCTTATAAGAATTATTGTAAGAAGCAAACATAATATTTTTAAAAAGAAAACAAACCCTGATAATATGCATATTTACCCAAAAGGAAGATGACCCCTAAGTGTAAAACAGCCCCCAAAATATGTTATACACACACACATATAAATTACTTGGACACAACTATAACTTGTGTGCAAATATAAGACACCTCCCTCTCCACTTTTTTTTGATGGCATACCTGGGGAAAAGCCCTAGTCTTGCATTTGAGTAAATACTATAATATGCCTTAATCTTATATATAGCTATAAAAATCCTGCTTCTCAGATGGACGAGATTTTCTAAAAAAAACATGCACAATAAAAAGGGTTAAAATGTCTAAGCAGTTAACATATATAACATACAGACAAAAAGAATACATGGACAATCATCTTGGTATTGAAAGTTTACTGACTTTCAGAAATGAATATTTTAGGCATATGTGCCTTGATATACTGGCTTTCCATATACTGTATATTTGGAACATGTAGAAAGATCCCACAATTTCAAGGACTCTATACTGGGGAGGTATTGTTGTTGTTGTTGATGATGATGATGAGGAGGAGGAGGAGTGGGAAATAATCATTAAAGTGCTTCATTACCATCAATACTATACTTACTACTAAGCAGCCTGAAGAGAATTTTAACTTAGTTCACTGCTTTGTGACATCTTAGAGAAAATTTTCCAAGCCATGTGTATTATTGGTGGCAAAGTTTGTATTCTAATGATTCAGTCTTTCCAGAACCAGCTGAAAGAACAAACACTTTTAAGTTTTTACAGACATTCTAGGTTGCTGGAACATTTTTATTTAAAATGTAATGACAAGTTAGAGTTCTTTCATTAATTAAAATGTTTGAAAACACATTTGAAAACAATGAATCAGCCACTCTGGTTCAAATAAGGGTAGACAATTATGCATAAAACAGGTGATACATATGTTGTTCTCAAGCTTGATATAATACCTAGGACCAGGGGTCGTTTCGTAGAAAAAGAGCTAGGGGAACTCATTAGCATAACTCATTAGCATATGCCACAGCCGGCCTTGCAGCTCCACTGCCGAGCCCCACAAGGGGCCTGGCGGTGGACATGCAAGGTCGGCGGGAGTGCAAGGAAGCCCTGCGAAGGCCCTCCCTGGCCCCAGGCAGGCAGGGGTGGGGAGAGGCAGGGAGGAAGCAACTTACCCTCCCTCTTCTCCTGCCTCCTCCTGGCTGAATGAGGGCTGGAAGCGGGGTGACCGGAAGCAGGGGACGGGGCTTCAACATGTGCCCCGCCCCCCGTACCTCACCTGGGGGAGCTGCGATCCCCCGTGATCCCCCCGAAATGACCTCTGCCTAGGACTTTATGGATGATATAATCCTTATTAAAAGTCAAAATCCTACCAAGCAGCTGTTTTGGAAAGCACCTCTCCCACAGTCTATCTTCCTTGCCAGTCTGTAGGCAAGAAAGATCAGTAGGATCTAATTTTTAAAGTTTTTTTAAAGGGCTCTGCAAACAGTCTTTTGGATAGAAAGTTATTTCTGTCCAAAATAATAATACCATTCTCATTTGCAACACAATGTGGTATTGTCCAAACTTACCTAAGGATTATGGGGACACGTTTGGTTAGCTAACTGTTGAAATTCATGTTAATTTGTTCCTCTGGTTGATTTTGGTGTGAGTTTTTCCTATCAACTTTAGACAGAACAGATTGTATTAGCCCTTTATTAAAGTAAATCTTGACAAGTTAAGTCAAGAAAGGTGAATGTAATTGTTGCGTTTTTTGTTAGCATCACATAATAAAACATTAAGGCAATTTTTTTAAAGCTGCCTGAAGTAAAAACTTCGGTTTGCAAGACCTGAAAAGGTCTGTAAATGATAGGACATTTTGGAGGACATTAGTTCATAGGGTCGCCATCAGTCCAAAGTGACTTGATGGCACTTAACAAGCACACAAAATAAAAACTAACAATGATAGTGCCTTAAATTTCATAGAGATAATTCAGTCATAGAAAGCACTTTAAATTATTTTGAATGGATGTGTATTCTAGTAATAGATAGCACAATTCATGTTTACTGGAGTCCTAGTTTAGACACTGCATTGGTGTGAGTTACTTGCTGGCCTCAACTCTTTGTGTTTCTCTTTCTCTAGATTGGCAGATCGCTACACTTGCTATGCTGTTGGGGGGTGCTGCCATAATTCTTATAGCTTTCTTGGTTGGATTAATTTCAATCTGTGTGGGGTCACGGAGGCGGTTCTACAGACCAGTTGCTGTCATGCTGTTTGCAGCAGGTAAATAAATAATTGCTTCCCAAAAGTATATTAAAACCTTGGTAACTGCAGCTTCATTGTTTGGAAAATAGATGTGACTTGTGCATTACCATCCAAAAATAAAAATAATTAGTTTGTTGCCCAGGTTTGTTTCATAAGTTGTTAATTATACAGAATCAACAACCTTGTTTACCTGGATAAGAAATCCCAGAATGATTCAGTCTCTTAACAGCATCCGCTGTCAGGTCATTCTTAGGTCACTATGTGCTGTAATGAATACTTAATTCCACCCATCTCTGCATACTCAAGCATAATTGTTTATCGTATTTCTTATATGAAAATCAAAAACATAACAGCTAATTCATGGACTGGACTGTAAAAATTTGTTTCAGCCCCTGATTTTTAAGTTAATCAGAGACTCACAATTTCAGATTTCTTCTAGATTATTGTGCATGGGAAAAGGCTGTAGTGAATCAGTTTGGACGGTTGCAAGGCTGCATTTTTTCCTAGCTTCAGTGTCAATGGAAACAGCTACTGGTTCTTCATATTTATTCTACATTTTACACTGGCCTTCTCCAAAGTGAAATTCCTCATACATGATTGTATGCAGGAATTTGTCAGTTCATAGTCTGTCTGAGGAAACAACCCCTAAATTATATTAAATGTTAGGTGTGTGTATTACTCATGTAACATATCAATTCCTGTTTACAGTGGAACCATTATCATTTAAAAACACTGTTGCAGGCTCATTATTACTGTCTAAATTTCAAACATTTGGAAAAACTTCAAATGTTGCATCTTTAAATGTAGCAACTTTGGATTGTTTTGTTTGGTTTATTTTAAAATCTATTTCTTTTTTTTCTGAGTCCTTTCCAATTTTTAAGTACTAACCCTTGAAAACATTCATATGCAAATAAATAGGATTAAACTGAAAGGTGTTTATATCTTCCCCATGCTTCACAGGAAGAATCAATTTCATTGTGTCAGGTTTGCTTTTTGTTATTAATTTAACAGCCGTCACACCATAAAGCCTTTTCTTTTTCAAAGGATCAAAGAAAACAGTTGGTACAGAGGAATACTTTTTAAAAAGGGGGAAAACATAAGCAAACCAGGCCAAAGAGAGCTCTCTAATGCAAGTCATAATGGTCACACTGAGATAATCACTTCCTACTTTCAGTGTCTTTCAGGATGGCCAATAACTGATAGGGACCCCCCCCCCCAAGTCTTCGAAGCATATCTCCCCTTCTTTCTGTCAGTCATATCTGTGCTGGAACTGAAACACTAAGCCTTTTTGATAGTCAGTAATGGAGAGAGTGACAGAATCATCTACTCGGCTAGATGGATTTTTAAAATCCATTTACAAGGATATGGAAAGATAGGCCCTTTCTGTTTGAAGGTTTTTGTATTTGAGGAATCAAAACAATTATAAGGGGAAGTACCCTACTGCCCCCTGCTGTTCTCATTATTTTAATTATCTCACATAAGTTTAGCAGAAAAAAGGTACACCCATGTCTGTAATTGTATTGGGGCTTTCATTGTTTTCAGAGCTATTTGCATCAGGGATTCAGGATTTGTTAAACCAATTCAGTCATGTGATGATGCCACACTACCAACTCCTAATACATTGCTTTAGTGGCGCTTTTTTTTTGGGCCTTTGATTCTGCCTCTCATACCATTGCATAGCAATGATTCAAAATTTGGTCTGTAGTAGAGGGATAGGAGCATAGAAAGGAGGATAGACATGAAAAACAGAAGACTAGATTAATAAGAACAAAATAATTCTGACTTCCTTCCAGCAGATGTTTGACAGAAGATATAAGAAATGTAATAGAACGGGTGTACCCACCTGTGGTCATCTTTGAAATTCTGCCACAGGGTGGTGACTGTCATAGGAAGCAGCACCAACCACAAAATATCTGGGAATGAGATCGTGCACAATGCTAATAATAACTCTTCAACATGACAAGCAGAAGCTCTATTTAACAGGATCAAAGTTAGCCTATTGTTTAAAAATATTAACTTGCATATGCACAGCTTGCTTTCATTTTTTTTATGCACAATCTTCTGTTCATATAGGTTGATTCTAATCTTGAAAAGCAGAACTGCTTCTCATTCTGGAAAGTCCTAGGGCAGGGTCCCCAACCTTTATAAGCCTGTGGGCACCTTTGGAGTTCTGACATTGTGCTGGGCACAGCCACAAAATTTCTGAAGGGCAGTCAGAAGCCTTGCTGAACAAAATCCCCACCTGATCCCTCCCACATTTTAAAAAACACTTGGCAGTCACACAGTGAAGATCTTTGTGCTGTGGTAGCAGCTGATGCCAAACAACTTTTAAATAAATCTGCACAGCCAATAAGATCTCCAATGGCCAGTCAGAAGCCCTGCTGGGCAAAAACCCAACCTGGCCCTACCCACTTTCTTAAAACAGGCACCAGGTTCCAGAAAAGGTGTTGGTAGGCACCATGTCACTATGGGCTCCTCTTCAGGAACATTTGTTATAGAACTTCAAGGCAAATAGCAAGGGCAGTCAGAAGCCTTGCTGAACAAAATCCCCACCTGATCCCTCCCACATTTTAAAAAACACTTGGCAGTCACACAGTGAAGATCTTTGTGCTGTGGTAGCAGCTGATGCCAAACAACTTTTAAATAAATCTGCACAGCCAATAAGATCTCCAATGGCCAGTCAGAAGCCCTGCTGGGCAAAAACCCAACCTGGCCCTACCCACTTTCTTAAAACAGGCACCAGGTTACAGAAAAGGTGTTGGAAGGCACCATGTCACCATGGGCTCCTCTTCAGGAACTTTTGTTATAGAACTTCAAGGCAAATAGTAAACTGAGCTGGGAGCTTGAGAAATCTATGAAGTGGGAAAGAGAAGAAATGTCTTTTCCCCTTGTTTTTTAGGCCTTTTCTTTTGGACTGAAGGAAGTAGGTACTAATCTGTTTGAATTTTGGCTGCCACTACTTTGCGGATGCTGAAAACTCCTTTAGAGTTGCCAGTAGAAAATAAAACCTCTTCAGCATGGCCAAGAAGAAATAAAAATTGCAGACTACTTTGTAAACTGCAGTTCTGTCTGCAGACATTCCAGAACAAGTCCCATTAGAATCAGTTGGATGACTTATAATAAAACTTGCAGAAAAGCAGGGTATCATTATCATAGAGAATAGTAGAAGTTAACAGCAGATGGTAAGAGCAGCAAGTTTGATTGAATTACTGCACTTCTCTGACACATTCTCTGTTGCTACTAATATCCCATAATGGGATCTAGGCAGGCCTTTCAGAAGCCTTCAAATGAATGGAAGCTGGGGTTGATTAAGATTGGGAAAGTCTGGGCCTTTTAGGCTTCTTAAGATTTTAATTGTAGATAGCTTAATTATTGTAGCTATAAAAGCTAACGCTGAAAGAAAGGAAGAATCTTATGATGATGTGAAGACCTGCTGCATACACATTTGTGGGCTTGAGGCTACTTCATCAGATGAATGAAATGAGCTCAACACCATGAGAGCTTTTACTGTTACTGTTCTAGATGCCACAAGACCCTTTCTTTCTTTCTGGTGCAGTAAATTAATACAGATATGTAGGGGTGTGCATTCAGCTGTATCTGAGCAAAAAAAATTATTTTTGGGTATTTTTTACAGCCAAATACAGATCATAGAATCTGACTGGCTACCAGTATAGCTGATCCTGCATAAAGCTGATTTCTTTCCATCTTTTTCTGCATTTCTGGCTATACTGGTGGTGGAAAGGTTTAAAGGGCTTCAAAGTTAACTTTCAGTTTTCCCTTTTCCAGGGCAACAGTGGCCCTGGTCACACGTAAAGGTTTGGCCCGGGAGAGGGATGGATTGGGGGCGCAGCCAACGAGCGCGATCTCACCGCAACATCTGGGAAGCAGTGCGCACCCGTCCCCGAAAAGGCGCAGCAAAAATACACCACCTACTGAGGTGGTTCTTCCAGCCAAATACAGATCATAGAATCTGACTGGCTACCAGTATAGCTGATCCTGCATAAAGCTGATTTCTTTCCATCTTTTTCTGCATTTCTGGCTATACTGGTGGTGGAAAGGTTTAAAGGGCTTCAAAGTTAACTTTCAGTTTTCCCTTTTCCAGGGCAACAGTGGCCCTGGTCACACGTAAAGGTTTGGCCCGGGAGAGGGATGGATTGGGGGCGCAGCCAACGAGCGCGATCTCACCGCAACATCTGGGAAGCAGTGCGCACCCGTCCCCGAAAAGGCGCAGCAAAAATACACCACCTACTGAGGTGGTTCTTCCAGCGTGGCCGCATCAAGGCCGGCCGTGGGATCACCGGCGCGTCCTTCTGCCGGCGCATCCCCGGCTCCTGGCTGAACTGCACATGCTCAGACATGCGCAGTTCGGCAGTCTCCCGTTCCCCACTGTCGCTTTCCCCGGCATCTGATCGTGCCGGGGAGGGAATGCGCCGCGGCTCAGGGGATCAATGTGATCCTGCCGCCGTGTGTTTCTTTTGGTGCGGCTCTGATTAGCCGCAATTTGCCCGGGTTTTTTTCTGTCATGTGGCAGGGACCAGTGTAGGACAAGGGAAAGGGGCATCTCTGCAGCCCAATGGCAAAAGCACCTTAGGGGCCACTGTAGTGCCTTAGAGCCATTCATTGAAATGTCTTTGCAAATGGCATTGCATTGCATGTTTGCAACTAGAAAGGTTGTTGCCTTCAAATGTGAAGTCCAATTAAGTAACTATCTTGCTTTCCACACCTATTTCCCAGGGAACAGGAGGGAAGGGGGAAGAGGCAGTGGCAATTTGGCAAATAGGATTTCAGGTTAGGGGGAACACTGCTCTTTAGCTTATCACAGAAGTTCTTTTTTAAATTCTTCTGTGCATGGGCAAAGAGCATAAAAGCAAGGGGCTGGCTGAGCTAGACGCCATTGCTAAGAGAGGTTTGAAGAGTGTGCGCTGGCTTTGGCTTCAGCTGCTGCTCTGAGCCTGTCTCCTGCTGCCTGAGAGACTCTGCTGTGGACTTTGGATAAGATCCTGCCTGCTTGGAGAAGA